CACACACACACACCTCGACGAGGAATCTTTTGAACATGCAATCTGGATCGCCTAGGGCGAGTCTCGGCTGTCATCTGAAGGCTGCGCGCTTGCAAGCACAGCAAAATGTTAATTGGCATGGGGTATCCATAGCACGGCGTAGCTCATCCATACTATGGGGTGCGGCTTCTCTTCCTCTTCCTCGTAGTGGAAGTCGTGCTGGAAGTAGTCGCCGCTGGCGTAGCAGTTGCCTCAGCGTCTTGTCGGTGTTGAGGTTGTTCACGATCTTGTTGCTGCTGCAGGGCTCTGTTACGGTCTTTTCGCTCTCTTTCAAAAAACCAAGCTCTTGTCACGGGAAACCAGACTCGCTGCCATTGGTTGTTCACTTTGCTCCAGTAGTACCTCCATGACGTGGGGTCCTCGGTGTAGTCGTCGTCCCTGGCGCTGTCCATGTCGTCCGTGCTGGCTGTGCACATGAGAGCTGAGTGGCTGCGTGAATCTGACTCAGGTGGGTTGGGCCTCGTTTACGAAGTAGTCGCAGAAAGGGAAAGAAAGAAAAAGTAAAGAAAGGAAAGAAAGAAAAGAAAAGAAGCCAGCAAGCTGCGCTCAGAGACATGTTGTTTTGCAACTGCGTGGTACACGGTCTTGTAGGCTTACTGGTATTCGCCAACTCTCAGGGAGAAAATGTCTGCCTGGGATGCCTGCACACATGTCCATCGCTGAAGATCTTCGTGATAAAGTATATCTCTCACCGGCAGTGGGCAGTAGGGGCTATCCATGGCGAGTCTCGGTCTCATACGCTGAAGAGACTCGCTTCTGTGGGAAGCGCAGAAAAGGCCATGCGTTAGGCGTCTGTCCATGGTGGCCACCCGAGTTGCACAAACGATGTCCGGCGAGACCACCTTCTCGATGAGAGTGTGTTGGCGTCGATAGTCGCGAATCACCGTCGTGTGTTGAGCCTGTGGATGTTGCTGCACGAGGGCATCCATGGCACTTTGCACTGCTTGATTGTTGTGCCTGGCGAGGGGGTTGTCTTCCACGCTGACGGCCACCATCCTGACTCGGATCTCCGTGTGGAATTTGAGGATGGTCTTTTAAGAGGGTGGCATTGGACAATACTTGCTGCGCAGCATAAGTGTCGCCCTCATCGGAGTAGTCGAACGAACTGGATGATGACGGCGGGGTTGTGGGTGCCGCGGCATCCATGGTTTCTAGTACTGCTATGCTAGCACATGGCTATGGTGGTGAACAAGACAAGAAAACCGAGTGGCTGAAGGAGCAACGCTCAAGCCTAGACGCATCTTGTTTTTCACCAAGCATCTTGTTTAGGGTAGGCGCAGAAGCTCACGTACCTGAAGGTCCATGTGCTGCTGGTAAGAAAGCTCATGATGATACCAAGTGTGCATGCGCTTGTTGAACAAGTACATCTTGATGTCGATCGGTGTCTCCGCGTGGTTGCCATCAACGGCACGGCCAGCGCGCATGTGCCAGGGGGCGTTCGACTGGATCTTGCACTCTGTGCTGGTTGACGTGAGGACTTGGTTGCATCGAAGCCACGCGGCCTTGTTGGTTTGCGCGAGGTGCACGAGCATGCGGAGGTCATGCGTCACTTCTAAGAGGGAATAAGCGGTGATCTCGGTGTGCTGGATGGCCATGTCGCACGCCAAGCTGTGTGCGTCTGCGAGGGCCATCGACTTGACTCTGATGGAGTGATTATATTCGTCATTCGTGGCGTCCTGACGATGACATTGGTCTGGACGCCTGATCCGACATGACCACACATGGACTTGTTGCCGCATCTGTAGAACTTCCTTCAAAGGTAGATGATGCAGCTGCAAAGTTTCCGGGAGATCCTCACGCGGGTTGAGTCGGCGACGACGGGAAGCTCGCTGCTCCATCCATCTGTATAGGTCCATGCGGAGGTGTTCCGGGGGAAGTAGCGAGGTTTTCTACCAACTTGAGGCTGAGCGATGAAGCGACCGGGTACGGCTGGCACATGCTGCTCTGACACTTTTTTAGCTAGGGTTCGCTGCGTTCGGTTGTCGCGACTGGGTTGACGCACATGTTGCAAGAAGAGAAAAGACTTACGAATTACAAATTAAACCCAAGACTCACAAGGTGATCGATGTCGGAAAGCTCAAGTCGGTTTGTTCGGAGTGGTGTATACGCGGACAAGACCAGTCTGTCGTCCTTCCACGGGCACGTCGCGTGCTTGGTGAGGGGGTCAAACTCCAACCCTGGCAAGCGAAGGGGATGATTGCGTCCTTGATGCTGTCCTTTCGGAGAGAGGTCCGGTCCGTGTTCTTCTAGGAGCCAAAGTTCCCCGCGACGGAATGGCGAGAGCGGCACGAGCACGTTGGTAGAGCCTGGCTGGTTGTACTTGTCCACGTGGGCAGCCATGTTCACGTTGTGCAGCAGCGAGACGGTGGAGAAGTTGGTGTGCGTGCATGCTCGAACCATGTGAGCAAGAAGAGCCGAGGTCCAGGGGTACTTCCTGGTGTTGCTCCGAATCCAACTGACCCGGCGTGGTAGTAGGCGCCGGAAGAAAAGACCATAGTTGGTGCGCCGCGACGTGTGAGTGCGGAGGCGCGAAGGAGCTCTGACGGCAACTTCTGCGTTAGCCAAGGAAACACAGACTTAGGAATATATCCATTGTTGAGATGCCGTTGACATACCTGTTCAACTTCCAGTTGGCTGCTCACAGGTAAGCATGGTGGCGGATCATCCAGTGGTAGTCCATGTGGTAGTCGAACCGGCTGTAGGTCCACGTCTGAGTCTGAGTCCACATCTGTTAGCTCGACGTCATCTTGTGGCTTCTTGCCAGTGTGTTTGCGTGGCATGGCTTAGACTTCGATTTGGGACCAAAAAAGCTGAGGTCAGGGCTCAAAACAAACAAAACAGACAAAGCAACGCACTGCATCCAAGTAAAACTTTCAAGTAGTTGGAATTATAGAGGACGTCGTATTTTGCTGCATGCCTTAGGCGAAGTCTCGAAAGCCGAGGCTGAGGTAGAGGTCGTCCAGCGCTTGCAGCTGCTGTTGTGCTAAAGATTGTGGGAACACCGTGCTTTCGATCATGTGTCTTCGGCTGTGGTAGCCGCTGAAGCGAAGTTTTCGGGAGCCTGCTGATTGAGGTAGCCGGTAGCGCCATTGTTGAGGGTGAAGAATGTAGCTGACCTGTCTGTTGTTGGCATTGATACGGAAGCCCAGAAAATCGTCACAGTTTTCATCCTCCAGTTGCACAGGCTTTTTGTAGAATTGTAGTGACGCTAGTTGCCAGATGTGGGGGTCGCTGTGGAGGAATTCTTTGTCGACGATGATCGCCCGGTTGTCGACGTACCTGCGTGTCCAAAGTTGATCAGCGAGATGCGCACTTGCGACGTGTTGCCCGTAGAGACGGAGCCACGTGATCTCCGTCGAGACGATGGCACACGTCGACAGAATGGGGCTGATCTGATTGCCCATGGAGGTAACGCAGGTTTGTCGGAATACTTCCCCAATGGCTGTGAAGGCGCAGGCGTCGAAGCTGAACTGTATGATATCGACGATATGCTGCGCGTTG